GGAGATATGTTTTTGTATACTAGTATATAATACTAAAAACGGAGACAAGTCTTTGTTTATGTCGCTTCTCAAACTTCAAGATTAAATTTATCAGTATATATATATATATATATATATGTAGGACTCTAAAGTGCGATGGGGACGCTAAAGTACGATGGTCACGCTAAAGTGCGATGGTCTGCGCTAAAGTGCGATGCCTCCATACGCTAAAGTCCGATGGTCCGCGAAAGTATAGACGTAAGAAACGTAGTTGGATTATGACGTTAACAGTCGTTTATACAAACCAAAAATGAATATGCCGGAAGATAAATTAAGAATATTTGATTGACAAATTTTAAACCGACCATTTTACTATATAGATACAAAATAGTATACGCATAGGTATCCTGTATCCTGTTTCTATTGGAGGCGAACGGATACATTAATTTTAAATCATTGTTTACGTTGCAGTTTACTTTGCGGTCCCCGTTAAAATATTGTTGATTTTATTGAAAAGTAACGTCGGTAAAATAAAGGTACATGTTTTAAGCGTAAATTATAAATTGTCGGCTAAAACATAGTTTGTACAGTGTAGGAAATTATAACATGTATTTGTACTGGTTATGAAAAAGAAGAAAGCTCGGCGAACATCGCCTTTCTCTCGCATTAAAATTAAAGCTTACACAAATAAATGTTACATATTCCGACAATGAACGAATTTTGTATTTGTAATTTACAATGACGACTGTAAGGGAGGTGTTCACATTAGTGATAGACTGTGTGAACGGCAAGCTACACCAATTATCCAAATATTTAATACGCCCGATCTTTTAAAAATTCATTTTACAGGAAATAAAGTATTTTGTGACCCCTAAATTATCTTTTTAGCAATTATTACGTGGCCGGTCTTCTAAATTTAGAAACAATCACTTAAACCTACAGGTAAATTATATGTTATACCTTAGCAAACTAGCTTTTGCTAAAAGACTATTTTTTAACATCCATGTACTTTAAAGTTTTAATCCCTCGAACCTTACCCTATTGGCCCATTGCACTTTAGCGTGATATACCATCGTACTTTAGCAAACAAACAACCATCGAACTTTAGCGTGAGACACCATCGTACTTTAGCGTAGACCATCGCACTTTAGCGTAGACCATCGCACTTTAGCGTGACCATCGCACTTTAGAGTACCATCGCACTTTAGAGTCCTACATATATATATGTGTCGTTAAGCTAGGATGCATCAATAATCATGACTAAAATACAGCAACATATTCAAACAACAAAGAACCACACAGAACCACAATGTACCTGAATGAAACAAGACAGAAAAAAAAACCCCAAAAAACAACAAATCATTTAAACACAAAAGTACCATAAAGTCTAGTCCTATAATATAAGACTTCGGAGTTTCATATCATTTACATTCAACGTTTTTTATCGGATATTTTTTTTTACTATCAATGTTGAAACCCGTTTCAACATTGATAGTAAAAAAAAAAATTCCGATAAAAAACGTTGAATGTAAATGATATGAAACTCTGAAGTCTTATATTATAGGACTACATAAAGTCTTTAAGGTCAAGTTACAGTGAATGGGTCATGTCACAGATTTTTGTCAAATATTGCATACAGCTGTTGTTTGCTAAACTTGAATTGAAAATCGAAATAATAATACATTTATCTCTGTAATTTTACTGAATACATTGTTTTAGAATAGGTGAACACTTGTATAAAAAGCAGATAAAATCCACGAAGAACGTTCTTAAATTTGTATAAAAAAGGCCCCGACATGAAAAAAGTGAAACAATTCAAACGGGAAAACTAACGGCCTAATTTATTACAAAACAATTTACGAAAAACAAATATGACAGAAACGAACCAACGACAACAACTGCACTACAGGCTTCTGACCTGGGACAGGCACATAAAGAATGTGACAGGATTAAACATGTTTGTGAGCGCTCAATCCTCACCCTATTAAGCTGGAACAGTGGTGTAACAGCACAACATAAGAACACACTGTAAAATTTGTTGCAGTTGGTTTCACTCGAAAGATCAGTTCGAGGCAGAAAAACAATCAACATAAAAACAATAGACAAACATTGAGTTTGGATTATCTGGGGAATAAATTATTTTCTAATGTCAATAATTCCGTTTCCTCTTGAAGAATCGGAAGATAAAACTAAAAACGAACAACATATCCAAACAACAAGGCACCACATCGTACCTAAATGATACAAGATCGGACAAAAGACCAACATAGAAAATTTCAAACAACAACGCAATACTAGCTTGTTCTTAAATTGAATAAAATTGAAATAAGAATGACATAATTTATTCTATGAAAAATAGAATGAGGTAATTGAACTCGACAAAACTAATTCAGCATAATTAATTTCTACAAGTACATTTTGTACCTTATCAGTTGACATTTCAAGTTTAGATGTGTCCTGATTATGTGCTGGTGGCCCCTGGCTCTGTGCTGGTGAGTCCTGATACAGTGCTCGTTACTTTTGACCAAACGTTTATAATATTTCGAATCGAACGTTGTTGAATCAATAGAACGGGATAAAAAAATTCTGTTCAATCTGATTTGTGACACATACTTGAACTTTCGACATTCATTTGATTGTTCAAATAATCGCAACTACACGTTACTTTAAGGTGCGTCATCCTCAGTTTAATATCAGATGAGAACATATTTAGTATGAATAGTTTTATCAAAGTTATTCAATGCACTTATTTGTGTTATTTCTATCGACATAGAATGCTTATGAAAACCATATGCTAAAAAATATCCAAGTTTATAAGTTTTTTTCTTTTTACGTTGATCAGTATCTAATCTCACCAGAAACTTTTTCTTTGTATAAGATCTTTCGATGAAAGAATCGTTGGACACGCTTTTCCTATCCACGAATTGGTTGCACTTCTCAGTTCGGGGTGTAACAATTCCGGGTTGATTGGTCTGTTCCAAATGGATCTACGAGTTTTTATAATCTATAATCTGTTCTTGCCTCTAATTTCACCCTTTATGTATACGCAGTCTCCAATAAATTTGACGGACAAAATGACCAATCTAGACTTCCTTTTCATACATGACTGATAAAAACTGACTCGTATATTATCGTATGACCTTCAAAAATGAGGAAAACACATATCTAATGATATTATTAATAATAATAATAATAATAATAATAATAATAATAATAATAATAATAATAATAATAATAATAATAATAATAATGAGGAGGAGGAGGAGGAGGAGGAGGAGGGGGGGTCACTAGACGAGCAGGAGCTGCTTACCCTTCCAGATCACCTGAACCTTTCTTTTGTGTGGGGTGCGTGTTGTTCTATAGTTTTCGGTGTAGTGTGTTTTGTAGACTGTTTTTTGTATTTTCGTGTGATTTCTTTTTTTTTTGCCATGGTATTGTCTCTTTTTCTTCGATTTCGGTTTTTGATTGTTCTTTTGGTATCTTCTGCATTTTTAAAAAGAACTTATGATTAGGAAAATTCAGATTTAATGGCCAAATTTGTTTTTCGTGTTCCCCCAAAGAGTGTAAAAATAGATAATTGGCAAACATTCCATGGTCAGATCAGTATTCGCGCCAGGTAATCTGGGATACGTGCACATCAGTATCATTTAACGAATATTAGGTTTATAATGTTTTTACTACTTAAAAACGAGACGGAAGACACCAAACGGACAATCAAAAATCATAAGTAGGAGAAAAACCTGACAATTATAGTATATGATAAAAAAAACCCCCAAAAACGACGAAAAGATAAACAACTTCTTCTGGGCTTCCTGTGGATAGAAACACCTCTCAATATTAATATTAGAGTATTAGGGAAATTTTGTAAAATAAAATAGTTATGTTTTTTGTTGTATTATATCCCAACAAACTATGTACAGCTCACTATGTAGTCTAATTTTTCTATAACTTTTCTTTATTTAAATGACATTTTCTATTTTATTCATAAAAGTGAACTCAATATATATGCAGATGACAACACCCTTTCATACGCAGATAAAAATTTATATAAATTAATTAATACTCTAGAAGATGAAAGCAAAATTTTGATAAAGGTATGCAGGTGCTAAGCTTTGGAATGAGCTGCCAGATGAGCTACGTAAGCAATCATCTTTAAATCAATTCAAGAACTTGATAAATTCTTGGTCTGGCAGCTCATGCCAATGTTTAGCCTGCAAAACCAGTTAATTTCTGTTCATTATTTTTGGTTTAATGCTTTATTTTCAGCATGGCAATTTTATTTTGTTATCTTTACTATAGTGCTTCTGCTGCTTTGTGCTAATTTTAGTAACTAACTAATCTATTTGTGCTTTTAATGTGCAAACCATTTTATTTTTGCTTTTGTGTTTTTATCTCACAAGTGCATGTTTCAGTGTAATTATGTTTAACTTGTAAGATGCTTTTAAGAACTTTTGTGCTGCATGTTTATATACTGATATGAACTCTTGCTTTATATGTTTAATTTATGTGTGCATGACTTGATATGTATGTTTTGTTTTATTTGTTGCTCTGTCGGTTTTAAAAGCTCTTCAGAGCTTATGTTTGTGCTTGTATTGTATAAACCGACTCTAAATAAAGCTTTATGTCTATGTCTATAACGACACTAAAAAAAATTTAAACAGACCTCTTTTTTTTAATTTTCCATCAATTTTACAAAGATATTATAGTTTTTACCTGTAGGAGTGTATAGTGGTGTAATGTATGTTAGAATCAATAGCTGGGTAAAAAAGGTTATTGTTTAGTTTATACAAGGATAGAATCTAAAATATTTCTCTTTTATCTACAAAAAAAAATCATTTTGTATCATATTTAAAAAAAAATGTTCTCTTCATTATACATATCTAATAGAATTATATTAAAATGCAAATTATAGACAACATTATAAATTTTGGCATCATATTGATTTGGGTTACTTGCTCTGCAACAGTCCACAAAACACTTACATGGCTGATCCGTTTACGGTTCTACTATTAATCACATATCAACTTTCATTTTCGATAAAGCCTAAAAATAACTGTAGCCAGGTAAGGTAGAGTTAATGAATATTTAGTGTGTTGAAGCCTGCGCTCTGTGTTTCATTCCTTAAACTGTATGTCCAAGACCTACTTGAAAACTCAAAAACAACTCGATTGGCTTCCACCTAGGAATATATATACATACATAGGCGCACCTACTTTTGCAGTTGACATTGCCCTATTGAGCTCTGACACATCTGAAATGCAATTAATGCTTGACATTATAGGTAGATATGCTGAACAGCATCAATATAACATCCATCCAACAAAAACCGTACAGTGTAATACGAAAGAAAAAGACAACAAATGGTTATTGAAAGGAAAAACTATTGAACCAACAAATGCCACAACACATTTAGGTCGTCAAAGAACAAATAAACGAGAAAATGAAATTAACATTGACGACCATATTAAACAAGCAAAAAGAACAAAATACTCCTTAATGAGCTCAGTTCTTCATGGAACAAACCAGTCAGGGATATAACTCTATAGGGTTATTAGAGAAAATATCATACATGTGTTATTACAGATACTTTCATGAGTTGTCTACTCTTTATTCCTTAAATTTTCTAAGTTTGTAGTAACATATATTTGTTATTTGTTGAATAAATCATAAACATTTTAATTTTTAGTGGGCACTTGGGAATTCTTGAAACTTTGCGCAGAAACTAAATACATAGCCTCGATTACTAATTTTCAAATTACATTGATACATTTTTCACCAACCATGGTAAATCAATGAGACAAGGCTTTTAAGGGATAAACTTAGCTGTAATAAGGCTTAGTTATTAAAAGCATGTAACTTATTATATGAGACACTTGGGAATTACTGGGAAGCTTGCGCAGAACCTCATTACATGCCTTGATAATTATTTCTTACAATAAATTAAAATACATTGTGATTAAACATGATTTATGTCTGAGCAAAGGCTTTGAAGTGATGTAAAGAAGCTGTAATAACACCCTTTAGTTATTACAGGCATATTTTTAAGACAATAATAATGTCAATAGAACTTGTATACATTTTAACAAAACAAATGATGTATATTAATAATATTGGCCCTTTGAAACATGTAACATACATATGTTATCACAGTTCTTTGATTTTTTAGTCCACAATAACAAATGTATGTTATTTTTCTGTAATAACCCTATAAAGTTATAGCCTGGACTGCAAACGGGGTTGACCCAATCACAGGATATAACATCTACAAGACATATATTCTCCCAAGGCTTCTATATGGCTTAGAAATACTACCACTTACTAAAGGTCAAATTGAAACTCTAGAAAAGTTTCATAAAAATACCTTGAGACATATCCAATCGCTGCCTCAAAGAACAGCCACATCAGCAATACATCTACTACTAGGAGCAATTCCAGTTGAAGGAGAACTTCACAAGCGACAATTATCTATGCTCTACTCTCTATTATCGGCCAAAAATCAAACTATTCAAGATCTCTTACAACGCCAATCATCAATCAATTTTGACAACCCCAAAAGCTTCTTCTTTGGTGCAATGGAAACACTTCAAATATACAAGCTTCCAAACATATGGGAACTTCAAAGCAATTTGCCTATAAAATCTAAATCTAAACATTAGCATGATAAGTAAACCTTAAAATGTCAAACTACTGGAATAATGCTCTCCAAATTGATACAGTCCCACTTAAATATCTAGCTGTAAATTATATTAAAACTGGAAAGCTGCACATCTCCTACACCACATTGCAACCTATAATTGTAGATGTTCGGAAAGGTATCAAAAGTAGGATGATGACATGTACATATACCCGACAAGCTGATCGACATAAATTTAGTAGATATGAAATTGCTCCAACATGTCAATTGTGTAATCAAGAACCAGAAGACCTTCCACATATGCTTACTACCTGCTCAGCATTAAGTGAGACAAGAAACTTTTACGCCAATCAAAATTTATATAACCAAATTCATTGGAGAAAGGAAATGGAAAGAGACCTTTATAGATAGACATAAAATTACAGTCCTTATTATGTACAAACTTCACACATATATTCAGTGAAAGCAAACTCAAAATAGAAGAACTAGAAACGTTAACAAGAAATATGTTCTACAAGATGCATAATTCAAGACCAAAACTGATAAGTGTGTGATGGCTGTTGATAATTATAACTCACTCTCAGAAACTTAAGTCTATTTTAGATTTTAGCATTTGTATATATATTTACGGAGTGTGTACATAGTTAAAATTACTTTTTAACCATATTACCCTCAAAAGAGGGGTGTTCCTATTAGAGGAAGCTCATACGAAGAAAAGAAGAAAAGAAGTTAGTCAACAGTCAACGATTGCAACACTTCAGTGTGTCTGATGAATATACAATGCTGAACGGGGACCAGACTAGTTCCGCATTAACCTATTAATCATCGTCTAAATTCAAAGAAAAGTGGTCAATTGTCATTGGTTAATAGGACCAGAAACATACAGCGCATTCATTGACAAAAAGATCTTTTGACATTATAAAATTGAGAATGGAAATGGTGAATATGTCAAAGAGACAACAACCCGGCCAAAGAGCAGATAACAGCCGAAGGCCACCAAAGGGTCTTCAACGCAGCGAGAAAATCCCGCACCCGGAGGTGGTCCTCAGCTGGCCCCTAAATAAAAATGTGTACTAGTTCAGTGAAAATGGACGTCATACTAAACTCCAAAACATATAAATGAACTAAAATTAAAAAACATACAAGACTAACAAAGGCCAGAGGCTCCTGACTTGGGACAGGTGCAAAAATGCGGCGGGGTTAAACATGTTTTGTGAGATCTCAAGGCCAAAATTAAAATTAAGTTTGTTTCCCCTTACCCGACCGACCCACTAAAAATCCGCCGACTGAAATAATTTTTTTCGAAAATCACGTTGTTGTTTTTTTTTTTCGTTTCGCTCAAAAGTTCGTTTTTTAAATTCGTTTCCTTGAATGGTCCGTATTTTCAACATTCCGCGAAATCATTGTCGCCCGTGTGTTTGCAGCAAAGGGTAAACTACGTATGAAAGGATACTGAAATTGGAATGGAATAATGTTTTGAATAAATGCATCCGAGCAATCTTAACTACTCTTCCATTCTAGCTACGCCTCCAATAACAAAATGCGTATGGAGAATGGCCGAGAAGTTACGATTGCACATCCGAGCTCACCCTTGAGCTAAAATGTTAGGCCCGGTGTTTCTGAAATTCTGCCGTGTTTGTGGTAAATCCCTGAGACTGAGTTCGTCTTTATCAGTTGGTGACTCAATAAGTTGTATATTGGCGTGCTATTTATGCTATTTTGTTTCATTTCGTATGTGATATTGGACCATACACTAGTTGTCTTTGGATAAAATAGTTGTTGATTTTTTTTCGAGCTCAGTATCATATTGTGTTGTGAAAAGTCGAGATGACTATACCAGCTAATGCTTTGATAAAAGTTCTTGTAAGTTCATATGTCTTTTATAAGCTATAATGGGCTGATGATTAAATATGGTCACATGTTCAGGGTTTTGTGAAATAAGATGCCAGTGTTTCATTATTATATTTTTAGTTTCTGTATAGATGGGTTGAATTTTGTTAACACTACTAGCGGTTGCTCCCGTTTCGCTGGGCAATGTGTTAGCAAGTTTTCCCTTTCTGTATTTTGTGTTTGATAAAAAAAATCGTTGATTTCAGATATTTGATATCCTCGTTTGAGCTTCTTACTGTTTTTTTAAGATCAGTTCTGCTGCTTGTGTTTCTGAGATACCTCAATACTTCACCCTTGATAAATCCTTTCAATGAAAACACTTTTTGGGTGTGAGCAGTGTCTGTGCAGATATTGATATGTTTCAGTTGGTTTGATATTGGTTTTAATGTCTTGTATCATACTATGCCTTCGTTAAAGAATCTTTCTCCTTTGTATAATTATGACAGTGTCTAAGAATATTATTTCATTACAGGAAAATTCGTAAGTGAACTTCAACTATCATTATCATTTTGTTTCTCTGTGTTGAAAGCGTTGTAAAATGTGTTCAAGAATTAACAAACATTTTAAGGCCTGCTAACTCAGCGAATGCTGATCCGCACATAGGCACGCCCAAGGTTTCATGGTAAAGTTTATTGTTAAAAATAAATTCATAGTTTTCTAGAATAAGCCTTAATAGGCGTAGTCATACTCGCTTGGATCACGGTTTGTGGCTTCTAGTATTTCCTTAAATGAAAAACAAGTGTACATATTTTTTGCATCGAATGTTTCTAGGTAGCAGTCTCGTTGGGGTTTTATATTTTCAATTGAATTAATGAAACTATAAGAAAAATATAGAACCGTGTCTCAATTTATATGTGGTCTACTCTAAGTCACAAAGACATTGATATTTACAAACCTTTTCTAGTCTGAAATTGTAGGGTCTTCTAGTCATGCATAATCATGATAATACATTATACAGTATGTTGTTTTAGTATCAATAAAGTTCAATTTGGTTTTTTTCTGTGTTTTCCTGTGTGTTAGATATATTTCAGTGATTTTCTCTAAAAAAAAAAAAAAAGGCCTACCTACCTACCCACTTCCAAAATGGTGGGTAGGGTAAGGGGAAACAAAGATATTTTTAATTGCGGCCCAACCCTCCCCCTATACATGTACTTCTAGCCAATGTAGAGTAAAGAAACACACAGCGATATGCACAGTAAAACTCAGTTAAAAAGAAGTCCGAGTCCAATGTCAGAATAGGTAACAAAAGAAACTAAGCAAAATGACAATGATACATAAATTAACAAAGGACTACTAGCAGTAACTGACATGCCAGCTCCAGTCTTTAATTAAACTGATTGAAAGATTATGTCTTCATCATATGAAAATCAAGTACAATCCCTCCCATTAGGGGTTTAGTATCATACCATCATAAAATATATGAGAAGAACATAACCCGTATCATGCCAACAACTGGTTTTAGAATAAGCGTGTTTATTTCCGATGCAAAGACCCTATGAGTGAATCAATATTAATACCAAAATATGCAATCCTTAATGACTTGACAACAGTATCGTAACTATATTATGTTTGTTTATCAAATTACATGTCTGACTTGAATATTTAGTGTGTTAAAGCCTGCGCTCTATGTTTCATTCCAAGACCTAAATTCGGGTTAAATCCAGACAATTTTGTCAATTTTCACCAAAATATCTATGTTTGGCCTCTTTAGGTTGTAAACGTCAATGCATTATAAGAAAATCTCAACAAAAATAATTCTATTTTACTCTTTAACATATCTATTAATCAACTTGAAACACTGGACAATATATGGGGCCAAATAGGCCCCTTAAAAAACATACTTATGCCTGCTTCATTATAACATAAAAATGTGAAATGCAATCATAACCCTTATGTTATTGGTTTGATATCAATATCTTCCAGCATTTATCACTACCTCTTATATTAAAAAACAAAGTTCAGTGAGGTAAACATTGTTTATTTCGTGTTATGGGGTATTTGTTTATTTCGTGTCATGGCGTATGAAGCTATCCTTTATAAAAATAGGTTCAACTACAAATTTACAGTTATGACAAACTACAGAAGCAAAATATAAGTGTTTCTCGTTTCTTGTTTTTTATATAGATTAGGCCGTTGGTTTTCCTGTTTGAATGGTTTTACACTAGTCATTTTTGGGGCCCTTTATAGCTTGCTGTTCGTTGTGAGCCAAGGCTCCGTGTTGAAGGCCGTACTTTGACCTATAATGGTTTACTTTTACAAATTGTGACTTGGATGGAGAGTTGTCTCATCATGCTCATTGGCACTCATACCACATCTTCTTATATCTATCAAAAGTATATGATTGTCTAAATGTGGTCAATTGGTAAATACAATTCAATGTTTTCATTTTAATTTCACATCACAAAAATGAAAACAATTTTTACCCTTTAATGCTCACAAGCACTTTGATTCTGATTTTAGGTTTGTTTTTAAAGAACAGCGACCATGTGTGTACCATTGTTTTTATTGAGTGCTTTGCTTGCTTGTCCATTAATAGTCTCAGCTTTTAACAAAACAGGTATGGTCACTTGAATGTATTATTTATATAATTTTTATTTCATTCCTATTAGATAAAGAGCAGGGCCACCAGAATTTATCTTTGATTTTCAAAAACTGATTGGCCAATTTAGGCAAAATATATAGTGATGTCAAAGAGTACTCGAGTATCGCTCGGAAGTGGGTCTCACTAATTAGCGACAAGAAGCATCAAGAAGCGACAAGAAGAATGATTTAGTTACAGGCAGAATAATTAAGCGACAAGAAAACAAATTAAGTGTCAAGCAACAAGAAAACCAATTTAGCGTGAAGAAATCTAAATATTTATTATTTCAAATAAATAAATAGATATAGAAAACATACATTAAAGTGTATATTTTCATTATTTTGTTATACTGATTGAAGAAAATGAACATTTGTTCAAGAAAAGAGTTTTGTTTTATTATCAAGGATATGTTTAAGATAATATATTTATAGTTTACAGGTTATATATACTAATAGTGCATAAGTGAATGAATGATTGAAAAAGGGGGAAGTTAATTTCTTTGTTCTTTAATTTTTAAGCTATTCTTTATGGACACTTAGTATAACCAGATAATGAAAGGATTCCATCCCATATGCACTTATATTTAGAGTTATTGCCATGTCCTTTTATTTACATAATTTATTTATCAAGATTACTTCACTGTTGTGACACCATTATGATTCTGTGATTGTAACAAAATGTTCAGATTCATAAATACTTTCAAACAATTCACTACATTATGGCACAGCTACTATTAAATGAAAATTGGAAAATTTATAAAACAATTATAATAACCTGTAATTAATTGACTTTTTTTGTTTAAATTTATTGTTTTGATAGTTAATAAACCTACTTGTCACTAAATTTGTCTTTTGTTGCTAGTTTTTGTCGAGCCTGCGACTTTTGTCGCAGAAAGCTCGACATAGGGATAGTGATCCGGCGGCGGCGGCGGCGGCGGCGGCGGCGGAGGCGGCGTTAGCTAACTTCTTAAAAGCTTTATATTTTAGAAGGTGGAAGGTCTGGATGCTTCATACTTTGTATATGGATGCCTCATGTTACGAAGTTTCCGGCAGTCACATGTCCAATGTCCTTGACCTCATTTTCATGGTTCAGTGACTACTTGAAAAAAAAGTTCAGATTTTTTGTAATGTTAGATTCTCTCTTATTATAAGTAATAGGATAAATATATTTGGTATGTGCGTACCTTGCAAGGTCCTCATGCCTGTCAGACAGTTTTCACTTGACCTCGACCTCATTTCATGGATCAGTGAACAAGGTTAAGTTTTGGTGGTCAAGTCCATATCTCAGATACTATAAGCAAAAGGTCTAGTATATTCGGTGTATGGAAGGACTGTAAGGTGTACATGTCCAACTGGCAGGTGTCATCTGACCTTGACCTCATTTTCATGGTTCAGTGGTTATAGTTAAGTTTTTGTGTTTTGGTCTGTTTTTCGTATACTGTATGCCATAGGTCTACTATATTTGGTGTATGGAATGATTGTAAGGTGTACATGTCTAGCGGGCAGGTGTCATCTGACCTTGACCTCATTTTCATGGTTCAGTGGTCAAAGTTAAGTTTTTGAGTTTTGGTCTTTTTTTCTAATACTATGTGCAATAGTTCAACTATATTTGGTATGTGCATACCTTGCAAGGTCCTCATGCCCGTCAGACAGTTTTCACTTGACCTCGACCTCATTTCATGGATCAATGAACAAGGTTAAGTTTTGGTGGTCAAGTCCATATCTCAGATACTATAAGCAATAGGTCTAGTATATTCGGTGTATGGAAGGACTGTAAGGTGTACATGTCCAACTGGCAGGTGTCATCTGACCTTGACCTCATTTTCATGGTTCAGTGGTTATAGTTAAGTTTTTGTGTTTTGGTCTGTTTTTCTTATACTGTATGCAATAGTTCAACTATATTTGGTGTATGGAAATATTTTATGATCTATTTGGCAGTCACGCAGGTTTTATTTGACCTTGACCTCATTTTCAAGGTTCATTGCTCAGTGTTAAGTTTTTGTGTTTTGGTCTGTTTTTCTTAAACTATAAGCAATAGGTCAACTCTATTTGTTGTATGGAAGAATTGTTAGCTGTACATGCCTGCCTAGCATGGTTCATCTGACCTTGACCTCATTTTCATGGTTCATTGGTCAATGTTTAGTTTACTTGATTAATGTTAAGTTTATGTGACAGTTGTAATAAAGCTTTATATTTAGGACTATCAACATAATATCAATGATTAGTAAAGAAGGCGAGACATTTCAGCGTGTGCACTCTTGTTTTCTTCTTGCGATCACTATAACGCAACTATAGTAATCTCCGGAATTATCGACAGTAAAACTGACTGAAAAATATAAATTTTGTGAATGTTAACAGACATATCGTTGGGAAGACTACTAAAATGTTGGAAAAAAAGAGAGAGAAATTTACTTTCGAAAGTTGCGAAATCGAATCTCCCCAGAAAAAGAATTATGGTTAAACGCACTGGTCAGTGACTTCTAGTTATCATGCCTTTGTAAATGTTTTTTCTTTATGATGATATAATGTTTGTGTTGTTTGATCTGGTTTACAGTCTTCACAATTAACCACAAAACTACCAGCCCAGGCTTGTGAAATTGCTTTCGGGCTTTGTAAAATTCTTCTCTAAAGCCAACAGAATCAAACTAAAATTTTCTTAAAATTGAGCTTCGGACTAGTGGATTCAAAAGTTTATCGTGAAGACTGGGTTTAACTTTGTGATCATTGATATTTAAAAAAGTGTTTATGTAATAATTGTTATTTTAATTTGTACATGTAGTAAATGAGCTATTAATTATTGTATATAATATTCTCATGGCTATTATCTTCCCTAATATTTAGACTTATCTAATAATGTAGAGAGTTTAACGTTCATTACACAATAACCATAAAAGCGTATTTAGTATATATTTTCCCAAGGGAGTACTCGAGAGTATCTGTAGGCAAAAACAATGAGTACTCATTTAGTATTTCTTCACCGATTTGACAACTCTAAAATTGTTTGAATCTTTAGGGAAATGATGATTAGAAGACAATCTACAAATTTTCTTTATTTATTGTTAATTGGAAGACCTTCTACAAACTTGACTTATTGAATGTTAATTGAGAGACCTTTTAAAAACTTTCTTTATTTAATGTAAATTGGGAGACCTTCTTCAAACTTTCTTTATTGAATGTTAATTGGAAGACCCTGTACTAACTTTCTTTATTTAATTTTAATTGGAAAACCCTCTTCAAACTTTCTGTATTCAATGTTAATTAGACCGTCTTCAAACTTTCTTTTGTTACCGGTAATGTTAATTGGGAGACTCTCTGTAAACTATCTTTTAATGTTGCTTGAAAAACCCTCTACAAACTTTCTTTATTGGATGTTTATTGGAAGACCCACTACAACATTTCTTTATTGAAGGTAAATTGAAGACCCATTTTTATATTTTCTTTTTTTTTATGTTAATTAGAAAATCTTGTTAAAATTTTCTTTATTGAATTTTTAATTAGAAAACCCTCTACAAACTTTGTTTATTGAATGTTAATCTAAAGACACTTTTCATATTTTCATTCTTTAATGTTAATTAAAAGATCCACTTCAACTTTCTTTTTTTTTTAAATCAATTGGAAAACTCTCAACAAACTTTCCTTATTTAATGTAAATAAGAAAACCCTCTTTAAACTTTCTTTTATAATGTAATGTTAATTGGGAGACTCTTTACAAACTATCTTGTAATGTTAATTGGAAAATCATCTACAAACTTTCTTTATTATATTTTAGAGTTGTTTTATTTCTTTCTATGATTGTATTTTGTATTATGTTTACCTCTTGTTTCACATGTGAATGTGACAGAGTGTTTTTAAATAAAGCATATTGTATTTAATGTTAATTGGAAAACCCTCTACGAATTTGTTTTTGTTCAATTTCAATTGGAAGACCCTTTTCAAACTTTCTTTTTTTTCAAAATTAATTGGAAAACCCTCAACAAACTTTATTTCTTGAATTTAAATTGCAATTGGAAGACTAACTCTTTATTTAATGTTAATTGGAAAACCATCTACAAACTTTCTTATTTAGTGTTAATTGGAAGACCCTCTAAAAATTTTCCTTATTTAATGCTGGGAACAGTATGTCAATATTTTTGTTCCTGTTTAATGTTAATTGGAAAACTATCGACACTTATTTTATTTAATGTTAATTGGAAGACCCTCTAAACACTGCCTCTTATTTGAACCTAAATAGTATTTCACAAAGCAGCCATTATAACATTGTCTTGATAGTTGCTTATTAATTAGCTAGATTTTATTATTATGTTTAGTTGGATTCAAGAAAGAAGACTGTGATGAATACAGGCTTTCAATGTACAATGCAGGAGATGTCTATAATATAATCTGGGATGGAGAGGAGTATCCCAAATTTTGTAGTTTGAAATTTAAAATGGTCAGTGCAGACAGTTATGAGTTATGTGCTAAGGTCACTGAGTTTCGTTTGGAATGTCCTGATTTTAAACTCAAGTTCTATTGGGGAGTCAGCATGAATCTAAAGGTAAGTATATAGAAATATTTTAAAAAAATTGTTGAATAAGCTAAAAATAGTAAAATGGTTCTCACATTTGAACACATTTGAAGAAGGCCTCCTTTACGAGAAAAAAAAACAAATGTATACTACATGTATAACAAGGCGTTGTTATTTCCTTCAGTTTTGTAGTGGTTTCAGTTTATTATAAGGTATTTTTGCTTCCTTCAGTTTTGTAGTGGTTGCAGTAAACTATAACAAGGCATTGTTGCTTCCTGCGGTATTGTAGTGGTTGCATTATACTATAACAAGGCATTGTTGCTTCCTGCATTATTGTAGTGGTTGCAGTATACTATAACAAGGCATTGTTGCTTCCTATGGTATTGTAGTGGTTATAGTTTATTATAACAAGGCGTTGTTGCTTCCTGCGGTATTATAGTGGTTGCAGTATACTATAACAAGGCATTGTTGCTTCCTGCGGTATTGTAGTGGTTGCAGTATATTATAACAAGGTTTTGATGCTTCCTTCAGTCTTGTAGTGGTTGTAGTATACTATAACAAGGCATTGTTGCTTCCTTCAGTCTTGTAGTGGTTGCAGTATACTATAACAAGGCATTGTTGCTTCCTTCCGTCTTGTAGTGGTTGCAGTATACTATAGCAAGGCATTGTTGCTTCCTTCCATCTTGTAGTGGTTGCAGTATACTATAACAAGGCATTGTTGCTTCCTTCAGTATTGTAGTGGTTGCAGTAAACTATAACAAGGCGTTTTTGCTTCTTTCAGTCTTGGAGTTGTTGCATTATACTATAACAAGGCGTTGTTGCTTCCTTTTAGTTTTGTAGTAGTTGCAGTATACTATAACAAGGCATTGTTGCTTCTTGCAGTATTGTAGTGGTTGCAGTATACTAAAACAAGGCATTGTTGCTTCCTTCAGTTTTGTAGTGGTTGCAGCATACTATAACAAGGCATTGTTGCTTCTTGCAGTATTGTAGTGGTTGCAGTATACTAAAACAAGGCATTGTTGCTTCCTTCAGTTTTGTAGTGGTTGCAGTATACTATAACAAGGCATTGTTGCTTTCTTCAGTTTTGTAAGGGTTGCAGTATACTATAACAAGGCATTGTTGCTTCCTGCGGTATTATAGTGGTTGCAGTATACTATAACAAGGCATTGTTACTTCCTGCGGTATTATAGTGGTTGCAGTATACTATAACAAGGCATTGTTGCTTCCTGCGGTATTATAGTGGTTGCATTATACTATAACAAGGCATTGTTGCTTCCTGCATTATTGTAGTGGTTGCAGTATACTATAACAAGGCATTGTTGCTTCCTATGGTATTGTAGTGGTTATAGTTTATTATAACAAGGCGTTGTTGCTTCCTGCGGTATTATAGTGATTGCAGTATACTATAACAAGGCATTGTTGCTTCCTGCGGTATTGTAGTGGTTGCAGTATATTATAACAAGGTTTTGATGCTTCCTTCAGTCTTGTAGTGGTTGTAGTATACTATAACAAGGCATTGTTGCTTCCTTCAGTCTTGTAGTGGTTGCAGTATACTATAACAAGGCATTGTTGCTTCCTTCCGTCTTGTAGTGGTTGCAGTATACTATAGCAAGGCATTGTTGCTTCCTTCCATCTTGTAGTGGTTGCAGTATACTATAACAAGGCATTGTTGCTTCCTTCAGTATTGTAGTGGTTGCAGTAAACTATAACAAGGCGTTTTTGCTTCTTTCAGTCTTGGAGTTGTTGCATTATACTATAACAAGGCGTTGTTGCTTCCTTTTAGTTTTGTAGTAGTTGCAGTATACTATAACAAGGCATTGTTGCTTCTTGCAGTATTGTAGTGGTTGCAGTATACTAAAACAAGGCATTGTTGCTTCCTTCAGTTTTGTAGTGGTTGCAGCATACTATAACAAGGCATTGTTGCTTCTTGCAGTATTGTAGTGGTTGCAGTATACTAAAACAAGGCATTGTTGCTTCCTTCAGTTTTGTAGTGGTTGCAGTATACTATAACAAGGCATTGTTGCTTTCTTCAGTTTTGTAAGGGTTGCAGTATACTATAACAAGGCATTGTTGCTTCCTGCGGTATTATAGTGGTTGCAGTATACTATAACAAGGCATTGTTACTTCCTGCGGTATTATAGTGGTTGCAGTATACTATAACAAGGCATTGTTGCTTCCTTCAGTTTTGTAAGGGTTGCAGTATACTATAACAAGGCATTGTTGCTTCCTGCGGTATTGTAGTGGTTGCAGTATACTATAAATAGGCACTGTTGCTTACTTCAGTTTTGTAGTGGTTGCAGTATACTATAACAAGGCATTGTTGCTTCCTACAGTATTGTAGTGGTTGCAGTATACTATAACAAGTTGTTGCTTCCTTCAGTTTTGTAGTGGTTGCAGTATACTATAACAAGGCATTGTTGCTTCCTTCAGTTTTGTAAGGGTTGCAGTATACTATAACAAGGCATTGTTGTTTCCTGTGGTATTATAGTGGTTGCAGTATACTATAACAAGGCATTGTTGCTTACTTCAGTTTTGTAGTGGTTGCAGTATACTATAACAAGGCATTGTTGCTTCCTTCAGTTTTGTAAGGGTTGTAGTATACTATAACAAGGCGTTGTTGCTTCCTGCGGTATTGTAGTGGTTGCAGTATACTAAAACAAGGCATTGTTGCTTCCTGTGGTATTGTAGTGGTTGCAGTATACTATAACAAGGCATTGTTGCTTACTTCAGTTTTGTAGTGGTTGCAGTATACTATACCAAGGCATTGTTGCTTCCTTCAGTTTTGTAAGGGTTGTAGTATACTATAACAAGGCTTTGTTGCTTCCTTTGGTATTGTAGTGGTTGCAGTATACTAAAACAAGGCATTGTTGCTTCCTGCGGTATTGTAGTGATTGCAGTATACGATAACAAGGCATTGTTGCTTCCTTCCGTCTTGTAGTTGTTGCATTATACTAAAACAAGGTATTGTTGCTTCCTTCAGTCTTGAAGTGGTTGCAGTATACTATAACAAGGCATTGTGGCTTCCTTCAGTCTTTAAGTGGTTGCATTATACTATAACAAGGCATTATTGCTTCCTACAGTATTGTAGTGGTTGCAGTATACTATAACAAGGCCTTGTTGCTTCCTGCGGTATTGTAGTGGTTGCAGTATATGATAACAAGGCATTGTTGCTTACTTCAGTTTTGTAGTGGTTGCAGTATACTATTACAAGGCATTGTTGCTTCCTTCAGTTTTGTAGTGGTTGCAGTATAGTATAACAAGACGTTGTTGCTTCCTTAGGTATTGTAGTGGTTGCAATATACTATAACAAGACATTGTTGCTTCCTTCAGTTTTGAAGTGGTTGCAGTATACTATAACAAGGCATTGTTGCTTCCTTCAGTTTTGTAGTGGTTGCAGTATACTATAACAAGGCGTTGTTGCTTCCTACAGTATTGTATTGGTTGCAGTATACTATAACAAGGCATTGTTGCTTAATTCAGTTTTGTAGTGGTTGCAGTATACTATAACAAGGCATTGTTGCTTCCTTCAGTTTTGTAGTGGTTGCAGTATACTATAACAAGGCATTGTTGCTTCCTTCAGTTTTGTAAGGGTTGCAGTATACTATAACAAGGCATTGTTGCTTCCTGCGGTGTTATAGTGGTTGCAGTATACTATAACAAGGCATTGTTACTTCCTGCGGTATTATAGTGGTTGCAGTATACTATAACAAGGTATTGTTGCTTCCTTCAGTTTTGTAGTGGTTGCAGTTTACCGTATAGTGGGTTTTTTTCGCGGGTGTAAAATTTCGCCATTTAGGGGCAACAAAGTATACGAAAAATTTTGGCGGTTTTTATTTTGTCGGATTCTTAAATACCAATTAAATATTTTGGCGGATACCGAAATGGTTGTAGCTAAAAAGTTGTAAAAATTGACAAACAAGTGTCTATTGTTATTGTTAAATGATTGTTTTGCCGGCATGACGTCTTATTTATTGATTATATATTGATACAGTTAATGAATAGAATACAGGTGTACACATTTCTTGTATATATTACGGTTGATTAGTTACGAAATTGATCGGACCTTTGATGTACTAATTAGTTTTAAAATAACCAAGAGTGACTTGCAACTCTTAAATATAATTTGACACTAATTGATAAGGGTAAATCTCTGACAGAGTACCTTACACTTATATTATTTGACACTAATAAACTTATTAACACCTATTAGCCATTTTATAAAATATATGTAATACTACGTATAATGCCCTTTTGGCATTTATGTTGTTAAAACTAACATAAACCGTTATTGACCCGCCGAACTGAAAAATACATCGTTTACAAAACGCTCCAGCTATTGGAAAGTATCGTACGGATGCATAAATTTTAGCGGAATTTATTTTCGCGATTTTCCTTTATCCGCCAAAATAAGCGAAAAAAAACACCCCACGAAAATAACCCGCTGTACGGTACTATAACAAGGCGCTGTTATTTCCTTCAGTTTTGTAGTGGTTGCAGTATACTATAACAAGGCATTGTTGCTTCCTTCAGTATTGTAGTGGTTGCAGTATACTATAACAAGGCATTGTTACTTCCTACGGTATTGTAGTGGTTGCAGTATACTATAATAAGGCTTTGTTATTTTCTTCAGTTTTGTAGTGGTTGCAGTAAACTATAACAAGTCATTGTTGCTTCCTACGGTATTGTAGTGGTTGCAGTATACTATAACAAGGCGTTGTTGCTTCCTTCAGTCTTGTAGTGGTTGCAGTATGTTGCTTTGCTTTAGTTTTTTAGTGTTGTTTGGTGCTGTTTTATTTTGTATGATGATATGATCAGTGTATTGTTTTTCCCCTGTCAGTCTGTAGGTCTCCCTTTCCATCTCTCTTTCTGTCTGTCCCACATGATTTCAACTTTTTAGCTTCACCTTTTTTGATTGTGTAGGGTGTTAGTTCAAATACTGAAGATGAGCATGTTATCAGGACTTGATTTAGTTTTTCACAAATGACAAGTCATATTTTGATAAAATTAGGCATGAAGAGAACATGGTTTATCTGGCTCTCACAGTTTTCAAGCATCAGAAGTTTAATTTTATGTAGGAATTTAGTACATACGCTGAACGTGTTCAGTATATCAAAATTAAGATTTTCTTTAAATTTGCATACATGTGCAGAAGCAAGACATAGGTTTCCTTTATTTCGTCATCATTGTAAATAGAATCGTCAACATTAAGGTTCAGTCTGTGGTTACATAGATCAAGTTTGAATTTTGGTGGTGTCACTTTTACCTTTCTACAGTTATGCCCCTTTACAAATGGAAAAATTGCTGAATTTTTAGTTTCCGTTCTCTAACTTAAGTTTGCCTCAACCAAATGTTATGAATCTTATTGTAACGTTTTTATATGTTATGTCACTCAGTTTTATTATTATTGTATAAGATTACTTATTCTCATTTACAGTTGTAAAGTCATTCATTACAATCTATTTTTATTGCCTTCGATAAGAGTTTATTTGTTTAATGTCAAATTAATCATGTTAATCTGGTGCCCCGTTGCTCTGGTTATACAGGTGCTCTGGTAGACCTCAGCTCTGGGCTCCGGTTGAACTATGCTCCTGGCTCCGGTTGACCTCTGCTACCGGCTCCGGTTGCCTTAGTGCCCGGTTGATTATCTCTTTTTTAGGAGTCATTTAACCATATTTGTAATCGGGCTACTAGGGCAAATAGAGTGGTATAAAAGAGAGAAACGTATTGTTGAGCCTGCAGTTTAGATGTTGTAAACTTTATTACTGTTACTTTGTTAACACATTGGATTTTGAATAATACAGTATTGAACTTTTAATCGACTTTGTGTTTATGTTCACTTACAAGACTTAGTTCAGACTACACCAGGATCCATTTATTTATTTATGTGACCATCACTTTTACCGTTCTTGAGTTATGTCCCTTTATAATGTTATATATATATCATCTGTATTCCTCATTTATTGTAGTTGCAAGTAACATTTAGATACAGTCTAAGGATAAAGATTTCCAACATCAATGCTGTGTATAGACAAACCTGTGCACCCTATGTCACTGAAAATTATAAACATTCCTGGATTTAGAGTTTGACATCTTTAAAAAGGTTTTTTTTAATTTCTTTTTTTGCAGATTTATGACTGTTATTCCTCCTTACCAATTAAATACTGTAATGAAGACTTACTGTTCATGTCACTAGAGCCAGACTATTACAATATCAAACGCTCTAATTCTAAACTTAGAATAACAGTTACAGCAAATCTATTATCAAAATACGGGGATGAAGATTCACCTAATGGTAGGTAGTCCAAAGATTTTATAAACCTTTGTTACAAGGTCAGGACATGATTGAGATGTGTGGTCAACACAAAAGGAGCTGTGTAAGTTGTCTGATTTGGTGTTTTTATAAAGAAGTAGTAATGATATACTATTGTATTAGCATTGATGCGCTCAGTTTTAGGAGAATATGCCTATGCCTAACGGATGCTTAGTAATCTAAAATATTTCATTTTGTTTAAATTTAAAAGTGGTGGAACAGATAGGTGACATTAGAGTGATATCCTTTACACAGGTTCTCTTGACTATTTATTACATAGGGTGTTTTAGAAATTTCACAAAAATGTAAGATTATTAGTCACATATATCACAAAGTTTACAAACAAGCAGACATGGTTCATTTTTTGTAGTTTCATGAATTGCCATTTGATGACATGGAAATTGTTTTTCAATACTTCAATACAAAAAAAATTATCGCCTTATGGACATATACATGATATATGTAACAAATTTTGACAACTAATAGTAAAAGCAGCACAACATATTGAATATTTTCCAATGATGAAAAACATATTATAGCTTAGTGATCCGTTATATTTTAAAACAGGCTGTAGAAAGTTTCCTCGTGCTTGAGGTGCACTCTCTTCTGTATTTTAAAAGTTATGGTGTCTTTATTCTTCAATCTTGAGATAATTTTCATTTTCTCAATTTAAGGCCAGTTTGTGTACTAAAATTTTAATAAGACTCACACCACCTATTCTTGGTCCCAATTCCTTTAATTTCCACGTTAAAATTTTTCACTTTTAAACATTAATGGGGGGATCAATATACTGTTATTTACACATCAGACCATACTGGTTTCCAGAACTTTGGATACACCAAATCAGGTATATTATATCTGAGAAACAGGCAATAATGATATATTCCCTCAATTTTAGATTTCATTCATACACTTTTGTATTATTCAAAATTATCAGTCAAAATGTGTTCTACAACGATCTCAGTCTTCCTTTTTCGTTTGATACCTAAACTACCGAAGTGTATTCTACATAGTTTGATATTTACACCTATGCGTAAGAACTATTTTGTATCAAATATGTACTACTTTCCAGTATGTAGTATGTTCTTTTTGGCCATGCCTGATTTGGTAGTGTTACATCTTACAAAGTCTGTCCAAATTATTTTGCAAAAAATTCCGCTCAAACTTGTACTTGGGGCCGTCTTAAGCTTACAGTGAGGTAAGATTTTTTTACTCTGTGTTGAAGGCCTCACAATGACTTTGAGATGAAGAACAGCAATAAAAGAGCTGTTCCTTTGCTTTTTTTGTGTTTTTTACTATGCATGAGAGTCAAATTGTAAACAAGCATATCACTGCCACTACCCAGCTTAAAGCCTCTTCCGAACATTTGAAAGTCCCTACTATGTACTGGTTACCTAAATTGCACAAAAAACCATTTAAATTCCGTTTCATCTCTGCATCTAGTAAGTGTTCTACTACTAATCTATCAGTGCTTCTAACTACCTCCCTTACTTCTATCAAAGAACTTGTTATTAACTTTTGTAATAAAGCTTATGAAAATAATGGTATTAATTATTTTTGGAGTGTTAAAAATTCTTTAGAGGTTTTAGATAAAATACATGCTTTTGATGGTCCTTTTAATTCTGTTGACAGTTATGATTTTTCTACTCTCTATACTACACTTCCACACAATCTTATCAAGAAAAAGTTTTCATATTTAATTAAATGGTCTTTTGAAAAATCTCATTACAAATTTATTTGCTGTAACTCGTTTAAAGCCTTTTTCTGTAACGAAAAAGGAAAGTATGCTAGATACACTTACTGGAAATGTGAAGATATGATTGAAGCTTTGAATTTTCTCCTGGACAACATACATGTACGTTTCGGTGATAGAGTGTATCGACAAGTAGTAGGTATTCCTATGGGCACTAACTGTGCCCCTTTAATAGCAGATTTATTCCTGTATTGCTATGAATCTCAGTTTATGACCAAACTCAGTAAAGACACGTCATTGTTACATTTGGTTGATACATTCAACAATACCTTCCGTTATCTAGATGATATTTTTTCGTTAAATAATCCAGAGTTCTCTAAATATACTACCGAAATTTACCCAATAGAACTTACTTTAACTAAATCTAACATAAACAGCAGTAGTTGTCCTTTTCTGGATTTGGACATTTCAATCTCTAAAGGAAAACTCCATACGAAAATTTACGACAAAAGAAACGATTTTTCATTCCCTATTGTTAATTTTCCTTTTTTAGACGGTGATGTTCCTTTGGATCCATCATACGGTGTTTATATATCCCAACTCATTCGTTATGCCCGTGTGTGTAGTGATGTCATAGATTTTAACGAACGTAATCAATGCATCACTGGTAAATTATTAAATCAAGGATTTCGTTACCATAAATTACGTAAAACTTTTGCTAAGTTCTTTCATAGATACAAAGATTTGAATAGTAAATTTGGCTGTACTTGTAGAAAACTGATTAAAAACGGTATTTCACATCCTAAATTTTACGGTAATATTGTACTTAAAGCGCGGAAATCACTATGTGATCCGTGTAAACTCATCGAACCTTTAAACAAACTTATTAGTAAAGGTTATCTTACCAATGTTGTAATTAGATCTTTGAATATAGTTTACATTGGCACTAATATCGATTTTGTCATCAGCAAATTAAAACATAACTAAATTTGTATTTTTTTCAAGCGGGATGTATAAAGACTCACCCACGTTCGTTTAGATCTATAAAGAGGTTAAACTAACTATCCTACTGTCTGTCGATACATTTATTTTTGGCATTGCACTAGTCAAGTCTTCTTTGACTGTCCATGACGTTAAAATACTAAATCCCTGGGATGTGTTTTAGTTGATTTAAGTCTCTGATGCATGATTTTTTATTATTAATTGTTTTGGCTTTTAACTAGCTGTCAGTAACTGCGAGTACTCTCAAATCGTACTTTCTTGTTTATTTGACCTGTTGATACTAATTGTATTGCTTTTTTGTTATTTAATGTTATTCAGGGTTATATCTGGTCTATATACCAGCTTTGATGAGTGTTTGGTATAACTATAAATTTTCATTTCGTACTATGAACATCAAAATTATTTATTTTGTAAAAATATTTCCTTTCTCTATTAGTACTGTACACGTATACCTAACAACAAAATTATTTTCATTTACCTGTGTTTAAAGCTATTGCAAATGGCTGATATTTTTGTTCGAGCATATTGTTTAATTGTTTAACATTTTTTACCGATATAACATGTTACTTTTATTATTCTTCCCTTAGTTTATTTATTTTGTATTTTTGTTCAGTGTATGTTCAATGGTGTTAATATGTCCTTTGATTGAGTTAAGCTATTTCAGTTGATATTTTATAGTGTGTCTTTCTATGTTGTGATGTTACACTATTGTTTCAGAAAAAGGGTGAAGGTTTGGTACCATTAAAACGTTTAAACCCGCTGCATTTGTTTGCACCTGTCCTAAGTCAGGAATCTGATGTTCAGTAGTTGTCGTTTGTTGATGTGGTTCATAAGTGTTTCTCATTTCTCGTTTTTTATATAGATTAGACCGTTGGTTTTCCCGTTTGAATGGTTTTACACTAGTAATTTTTTTGGGGCCCTTTATAGCTTACTGTTTGGTGTGAGCCAAGGCTCCGTGTTGAAGACCGTACTGTGACCGATAATGGTTTACTTTTATAAATTTTGACTTGGATGGAGAGTTGTCTCATTGACACTCATACCACATCTTCTTATATCTATGTACTGATTTTGTGTCATGGATGAATAGCACATATCCTTTGTTTTTCTATTATATTAAATCCAGTGGTTTGTCTGAATCTTTGAAAAATATAAACGGTAATCTCCATCTATATTTTTAGCAACTTTCTAAATGGATGGTAGTTTTTTCAATGCTTTTTCTATTTAGGTTTAGGTCTCCAAGGTGGCAAATATTTTTTCTAATGGTTGCTAACTTGAAGAAACGAGAATGATATCAAATTACATGTAGCTTTTTAGCATTTAAATTGTTGCTCCATGAATGAAGCATGTCTAACATTAACATCATAACCCTTTATGTGGCGTTTAAAGTGATATTTTTCTGTTGACAATGGTTGAAGAAAAATAAAATAAAATTCAAAGATGGCAATTTAATTAACCGAAAGTTAAAGAAAGACAGGCAACACTATGGTCAAAAGAAAAAAAAAAGAAAGACAAACAAGAGTTCACAAAACAGTACACAATAAACTTAAAATATCTAGCTTGAGATAAAGCAACACCAACCTGAATCTTAAGTGTGGTAAATGTGTGAGCCAAAATTTGTTCCTGTGAAAAAAAGTTCCAGTGGAATAAATATGGGAGAATGTTCCATCTCTATAAAATAAGTTCCACAATTTACCTGGTGAAATAAGTTCTGTGTTTGTGAAATCTGTTCCTTACCTGGTGAAATAAGTTTCGGGTTTGTGAGATTTGTTCCTTACCTGGTGAAATAAGTTCCTTGTCTGTGAAATATGTTCCACTGGTTATACAAGTTATCTTTTATACTGAGCATTGTCTTCAGTGAGTTTAAAGTTATCATTCATATATTTTATAAGATCATGTATTATAATAAATAAAAAGTGTAAACATCCAATATGGATCGTGTGAAGTATAGCAAAATTTTTAATTACATTCTCGATAAAAAATACCCAAATGACACTAATGGGGCAGGAAAGAGAAGAATAAGAAAAATCACTCAGAAAAATGATATTATCTACATACAATATATATGCTGACTTAATTTGAATTTCTAAAAGATCACCATATTTTGAATGTTCTCGTGTTGTTTAAAGACTTCAATGATGAGTATTAAATTTGTCAGGTACAACTACCGGTATAGAATGTTTTGCTTGATATAAGGTTAATACATCACATTAAACTATAACACCCATGACAGTTTACAGGAAACAAGGAGGAATACCACATAAAATACAAATAAATACAAATTATAATACATTTTCTACAGAAGGAAATGCCTGTACCAAGTCAGGAACATGACAGTTGTTTTCGTTTGGTGTGTTTGAGCTTTTGATTTTGCCATTTGTTAAGGGACTTTCCGTTTTGAATTTTCCTTTGAGTTTGGTATTTTTGTTGTTTTACTTTTTACATAACCGTCACTTTTATTTCTATTCTTCATCCTAGAGTTGCAGTCACGCCTTTAATTGCAAATGTATCCCATGCAAGCTCAGGACAGCACCCAGCATTATTATTTAAGTGTAACAAGAAAATGTTCCGCTGTGAAATATGTTGCAAAGGAACTTATTGTATATGTTCCATCGGAACTTATATCACAGGAACTTATTTCACATTTTTGAACATTTAATATTGGAACAATAATTCATGGAACAGTGCTAGAACATATTTCCTTATAATATATATTCCAGGTAGAGTGGGGGGCCCATATTCGCCGCAAAAACTGGCAATTTTTACCCATAGACAACGAATTTTATAACGCCAGTATCTTTTTATGTTACTTGCATGTAGTTGACTATTCGATAAACAAAACTGATTCATAAAAATTAACTATGCCGCCGGACAACTGCAGACATCTTGGTTGGCAATGGGGAAAAAAAACGCGACATTTCCCGAACAAAATCATAAAACGGCGAATATGGGCACCCCACTCTATACATTTTCTGTGATATAAATTCAGGTGGTACATATTTCCTTTGAAATAAGTTCAGGCGAAACAAATGTCACGCCAAAACAAAAATTTTTTGTTACATTGTATATTCATTTTTTATAGGTTGTATATTCATTGTTTAGTGGAGTGATATCTGGTGTTATAGGTTGTATATAACTGTTTAGTGGAGTGATTGCTGGTGTTATATGTTGTATATTCATTGTTTAGTGGAGTGATTGCTGGAGTTATAGGTTGTATATTACTGTTCAGTGGAGTGATTGCTGGTGTTATAGGTTGTATATTCATTGTTTAGTGGAGTGATTGATGGGGTTATAGGTTATAAATTACTGTTTAGTGGAGTGGTTGCTGGTGTTATATGTTGTATATTCATTGTTTAGTGGAGTGATAGCTGGTGTTATATGTTGTATATTCATTGTATAGTGGAGTGATTGCTTGGGTTATAGGTTGTATATTACTGTTTAGGTGGAGTGATAGCTGGTGTTATAGGTTGTAGATTTATTATTAGTGGAGTGATAGCTGGTGTTATATTTTGTTTATTCACTGTTTAGCGGAGTGATTGCTGGTGTTATGTGTTGTATATTCATTGTTTAGTGGAGTGATAGCTGGTGTTATAGGTTATATATTACTGTTCAGTGGAATGATAGCTGATGCTACATGTTGTATATTCATTGTTTAGTGGAGTGATTGCTGGTGTTATATGTTGTATACTCATTGTTTAGTGGAGTGATTGCTGGTGTTATATTTTGTTTATTCGTTGTTTAGTGGAGTGATTGCTGGTGTTATATGTTGTATATTCATTGTTTAGTGGAGTGATTGCTGGTGTTATATTTTGTTTATTCGTTGTTTAGTGGAGTGATTGCTGGTGATATATGTTGTATATTCATTGTTTAGTGGAGTGATTGCTGGTGTTATAGGTTGTATGTTACTGTTCAGTGGATTGATAGCTGGTGTTTTATGTTGTATATTTATTGTTTAGTGGAGTGCTAGCTGGTGTTTTATGTTGTATATTCATTGTTTAGTGGAGTGCTAGCTGGTGTTTTATGTTGTATATTCATTGTTTAGTGGAGTAATAGCTGGTGTTTTATGTTGTATATTACTGTTCAGTGGATTGATTGCTGTTGTTGTAGGTAGTATGTTCCTTGTTTATTATTTGTACTACGTTTTTTTATACTAATGGTGATATACATTTTTGTTTAGGTGGAGTGATAGCTGGTGTTATCGGAAGTATATTCATTGTTTGTCTGGTATGTTTTGTATGTATCCTTGTAATCAAGCGTAAAGCTGCATCCGAGTCTATAATGCAGGGAACCAGACAACAAGACAATAATGATGTCAATACAATGCCACAGTTCCATGGAAATGAATGGCATCAGCAAAACCCAGGTAACAATATTAGGCGAATATAAAGAAGGAATAGTTACTGTACCTTATAAGTATAACTTAAAATTATATGAGAGCAATCCTCTTAGAGCAATATTACTTTTATTTGTATATCAAGGTAAAATTTATTAGAGTATGTACAACTTAAGTCTCTTAGCCCATACATTATATTTAAAACGTCTTTTACCTTTATCTGAAATTCCTTAGCCTTAAAACGTAGGATGAATTAGTCAAATTTTGTTTCATAAAGAATGATGTTGACAGAGTAAGTTAATGTGTTTAGTGTGTGGACAAATAAAAAAAGGTGTAACATATAAACCATGGGTGAAAATTGTTGTGTTTTATGGTCAAAACATATTTGAAAAAAGTTGGCGGATTAATAACTCCTGAATATTTATTTTGATAACGTTATGGTTTCCTGTGAATCTGACAATAAACTCATGCTGAATAGCGGTTATTTGGCTCTGTGGTATTTATGAAAACACAGTCCGGTCTGGTCGGAATGATGATGTTAAACCTATTGCTCCTGTTGGGAGAGTGTCATGCTCTCCCCATGTTTCATAACCTTTGCACCATCATATTGAAATTGAAGGATTTGTACGAAGCCAGTTGCAAGGCAATATTCCAGTCTCTATTCAAATAGTTCTCATCTATTTTTCATTTATATACAGTCCAAATCAGTCCATCCCAGATAACCAGTCTATTAGATTCATCATTAAGTTGATCTCATTCTCATTATACGACTAGACATTAGGCAAACCATCCGAACTATTAAAGTATCTAAAAAGAACACTTTTTCAGTAAATCGAGGTATGTTTATTTAAATGATAAATTTCTTTTTTTACAGAGCAAAGAAATTTAATGCAGCATACTGGAATTAGAGATGCCAATAGTGTCACAAATAATCAGTACTATCAAGGTCCTGAATCATATTCAGGCGCTCGTCCGACTACTCTTAGCGCAGTAGAACCATCAGCACCTCCAATAGGGTCAGATATATCTGCACCACCACCTACATATGACAGTGTAATCAGTAAAGGCATGGAATATGAAAAATCTTAAACTGAAATGACTACAACATTCACCTTGCTCCCAGGGAAATTTTTAACCCTTATCATCAGTCGTTAGACATGTGCTGATATTCAAGTTTCCATCTTCTCCTTGAAAACCATCAGACCAAATTATACTAATGCACAGAATGATTTAATATCTGGTAAGGAGCATGACAGTGATGAGTTGTAATGTGTGCACAATTTTTGGATCTGTGGGACGGACATCTACTACCTGTTTTCTGATACTTTCAAATGTTAAATGAAAACAAATATTTTTTTTTAAAGAAAAATACAATTATAATACCAGGTTATACATGTTATAGAACAGACGATTCGGCAATTCTTTTCACCTTCTCAGCTTGTTTAGAGAAACAGGGCAAAAGTTACTGGAAATTTAACTCTCAGTTACTTAGAGATGCAGATTATATACAAAGGGTTAAATCTTGCATTAAGGATACTACTTTGGAATATCATCTGTCAGGCGACATGAAAGATCTTCTTTCTGTGGAGCTGTCATGCGATGATCAAGCATTTTTTGAAATATTGAAAATGAAGATTAGATCTTTGTCCATAAATTACAGCATAAATAAATCCAGGGAGTACAAAAACGTTACTCTCAAACTTGAAAATGATATTGTAAATTTAGGAAGTATCATGAATCATTCTCCAAAAATAAAAAAAAATTTGAATTAGAAAATTAACAATAAGAGAAAGTTGAAGGCTTGCTGCTTAGATCCAGTGCTAATTGGCATGAGAATGGTGAAAAGTGCTCAAATTATTTTTGTAAATTAGAAAAGAAAAATTACATAAAGAAAACCATAACAGATCTAATAGATGAAAAAGGTCAACATATTTCAGAGCAATCCAAAATTCTGATGGAACAACAAAATTTAAAAAAAAATTTCTACTCAAGCAAAAAATTAGATTACAATGATACATCATTCTTTAATCATAAAATTAAGCTTACAGAAGAACAAAGTGACTTTTGTGAAGGAAATTTAACCTTTAAAGAATGTGCTAATTCATTAAAATTTATGACAAATGGTAAAAGTCCAGGTTCTGATGGGTACACTGTAGATTTTTATAAATTTTTTTGGAAAGATTTTGGCCCTTTTGTCTTTCAGTCTCTTCACTTTGGATATGAGGGTGGAGAATTTTCTGATTTTCAATATCAAAGTGACACTCCCCAAGCCCTTAAAGGACAGCGGGCCCGCGATGTATAATTTTTTACCGTGGTGGTATCGGTCTTACCGCGATGTATAATTTTTTTACCGTGGTGCTAAAATTTTCAGTAAAAAAAATCGTAAATTGGTAAAGTTTTAAGCGATTTATTAATTCTTTTCTGTCACATGACCCAGTTAGTTAATGTAGAATATGTTTATTTGCAATTAATTGCAATCTATTCTATTTAATAAATAAAATTTATGACTGTACCTTCAAACTGGATATCTATATCCACAATTAATGAATAACAGAAGTAATCTTGCAAATTTTATCCATAAGCTCATGTTAAATCTATTTATATCTACTTCCTGTCATTTAGGCGGGAAAAATAGGGAGACTTTGTTGTTGACATTAAATATGGTTACTTATAGACTTAAGATAAATTTATAGATTTAGAAATTCTTTTTAAATGGATCATGACAAATAAAGATTTAGATTTCAGTGCAGTATTAAGTCTGTATCAATTTTTGATTATCACCAAAGACAAGAAAGGTTAATATCTACATGATATCTATGGCAAAATGTTTTTAAATTTATGAAAAATTTCTTTTTTTTTTAAAATTTAAGATAGAAACTGATTCAAACAATAAATCAATATTTGTTCTTGTTATTTTATATCTCCTTATGACAAGAATCCTTTCACATACAACAACTTGCTTTCTAGAAACTATAAAGTTTTTTTTAAATTGAACATTTTTGGTCTTCTTTGAATGATATGTTATTTTTATTGATCATGGATTTTATAAAAGATTTGATTACTTTAAATTTAGATGAATATTTTGTAATGAATCATGTTTTATTTATTTAAAAAAAATATTAAAGTATACAAACTGTTTATTGATTTACTTCTTTTTTACCAATAATTGTCTGACTCAATGTCTACATAACACAGTACCACAGTGTCAGAACAAAACAAGAGACATACTGCAGTAACTAGAAATATGGCTAAGCGACGCGACGTGACACAACTGATTGTATGAATCATTTCACCAAGAAAATTCCAGGTGAAATTTGACCAGTTCAAACCAGTTTACCCAGATTGTTGACACCACGTGATCGATTTACCTTATGAGGTTAACCTTGTTGATTGGATTTAAACGATGTAATTAACACTTGTTACATTATTCTTTTTTATGTTTTAATTAGGAGTTCATAACTTTATGATCACTGATAACTATTTTATGGCTTCACTCACAACCCAAGCGCTGACCTGTGACAAGTCTGCAAATACTTTGTACACAAACAGTGTGAACCTGATAGTTGCACACACGCCTGTACATTTTTTGTACATAATAAAGTTGGCTCATTAGTATTGTTTAATATGTCTGATTAAACCATGCATGGCCAACATTTTCTTTAATTATGACATAGTGCATGATATCAGGTTTCAAACTATAGTATCTGTGAAGGGGACGGACATATGTACATATTGTGCACACGCGTTACCCTGGTGCTATCCAAAAATCCTGGGGAGAACACTGTACAGTAACAGTAATAACTTGCATTCCTAAAGAGGGAAAAGACAGACAGTATATAAGTAACTGGCATCCTAGTAGTCTTTTGAATACTGATATGAAAATAGCTTCTGCTGTTATAGCTAACTGACTTAAACCAGTTTTACCATTTATCATAAGTGATTCACAAAAAGGTTTCATCAAAGATAGATTTATTGGTGAGAACACACGCCTTTTATATGATTTGATGCACTATCATGAGGAAAATAATAAGACAGGTCTTTTATTACTTGTTGATTTTGAAAAGGCGTTCCTCTTTCTCCCTATTTATTTATAATTGGTGTTGAATTACTACCTTTGAAATTAAAAGGTAATCCTGCTGATATAAGGGGAATTACTGTCAATGATAATGAATCACTTTTAGGCCAGTATGCAGATGACACATTCATGATGTTAGATGGAAGGGAAATATCGTTGAGGGAAACACTTTCATGTTTTGAATCTTTTTATAAAATTTCAGGTTTGAAAATAAATGCTTCAAAGACAAAAGCAACATGGGTTGGAAGTAAAAAATATTCAGATCTTATTCTATGTCCTGACTTAAAACTTCATTGGTCACATTCGAATTTTAAACTTTTGGGGATCGAGTTTTCTTTAGGGAGCTACCATTTGATTTTTATTGGGGGGGGGGGAGGTGTTGTGTTAGGATGAAATTTGAAAAAAAGGCAGGACAAGAGTTTTGAGTAAAAAAAACGGCAGGATGAGCAACTTTGCAAAAAAAAAAAAGGCAGGATGAGCAACTTTGCAAAAAAAAAAAAAAGGCAGGATGACAATTTTTTATCCTAGCCCCCCCATAAAAATCAAATGGTAGCTCTCTTAGATTTGAGCTGTATCACAGAAATTAATTTTGCTAAGAAGATCAAAGAATACTCTGCAATTCTGAAGAGCTAACAACATCGTAAACTCACGTTATTGGGGGAAATTACAGTAATTAAATCACTTGCTCTTTCAAAATTGATCCACTTGATGACTGCATTGCCAACCCTATCACACTCCAGGTTAACAGAGCTCACTTCATTATTTTATGATTTCATCAGAGACATATTATATGTCTCTGATTTCATATAGAATGGAAAACCAGACAGAATTAAGCGTACTAACACACTTATTTGTGATATTTCACAAGGTGGACTCAATATGGTACATCCCCATTCCTTTAATATCTATTTGAAAGTTAGTTGGATAAAAAGACTGCTGTCAAACCCTAGTGGTGACTGACAGTAGTTGTTACTGGTAGACCTTATACAGTATGGGGGTGAAAGGGTTTTACATCTTCAGAAAGAAAAGCTGATTGAGATTTCTAAAAGATGTAAAATTTCTTTCTGGAAGGATGTTTTACTATGCTTTTCTGTTGCAAAATCTTATACTGAAATATCTGTCGGTGACATTTTATCCTTAGATATTTTGAACTTTTCTTCTTTGGATGATTTCCTGTATTACCATTAACAGTGACCTTATTAATCATGAAAATATGAATTTTTATAAATTTGAGCAATTTCAAGAAAAAGTACAAACCAACAATTTAATCAAACACTATGGTCTGATTTAAAAAATCCCTAACACTATATGAAAAAATGCCTTAAAGAGAACTGTCTTAATCATGATTTGGACAAGTCTTACAATGGTGATACTTTCTTAAAGAAAATGATGCGTAATGTGAAAGCTAATTTTAGATATAAAAACTTAGTAGATGTAGTTATTCAACTACCAACAATCAAATTTTTGAAATGGGAAGAACGGTTGGTTAATATTGATACAACAGAATGGTCAGAATATTTCATGATAACAAAAAAGTCTTGTAGAGATGCTATTTAAGAACCTTTCAAATTAATGGCAATACATTATACATTATAGCAACTAATACCTTTTTGTACAAAATTAAAGTAAAAGATACCAAGTTATGTTCTTTTTGTAAACTTGGAGAAGAAACCATTGAACACCTTTTTTTTTGAATGCCCAATAACTTTTCAATTGTGGCAGTCTTTTTCAAATATCGTGAAACTTTTTTATGTAAACTTTGTTCTCAACAAAGAAAATGTGCTTCTTGGTTGCAAACATGAAAGTTTATTATTGAATCTGTTAGTCATAATTACAAAGAATTATATATATAAATGTGAAACAAAACCAAATTTGGTTGAGTTAAAGAATAGAATAAAGAAATACCAATTTCTTGAATATCATATTGCAAAGATAATTATAAAAGTCCAAGTTTGTGAAAAATTTTGGTCTCCTTTACATGTAATATTTAACTAAATGTTGTTTCATATTATCTATTTTTTAGTTTAAATGAAAAGAAATAAGCTATATACTATGAGCAAATGTATGTTTGTCTTTAAAATAATTGTATTAAAAAGTAAGTCATGATACATAATGTAGCAAAACAGATGAGTGAAAAGTATTAATGTTGTATGTGAGAGAGAGAGAGAGAGAGAGATTAATCAAATACAATTTATATGTAACCTTTTAAAAATACTCTTATTGTAAAAATCAATTAGTCAGAGATACATGTTGTATACTGCATTATTTTCTATATTTAACCCCTTGATACCCTTGTCAGTTAGTGGTGTATGGGTGTATGTAAAATCCTGACTATTGAAAAACAAATATAAGATAAAAAAAAAATCATATTGCAATCACCAAGGATTTGTATAGTAAGAGGATTTGTATAGTACTATACAAATCCCCCTTGCAATCACCTGGTACGTCCATCCGTTTGTTCATTGAACATATATTTACATCACATAATCTCAAGTAATACTGAAAGAATGACTTCATATTACAATCACCTTGTCCTTACGTCCGTACGTTCGTTCATCAAATATTTTTGTAACTTTTTTCTCCAACAGTCTACTTAACAGAATGGCTTCATATTTGATCTCCAGTTTTTCAGCCGTGTGAGCTTTTTTGAAATGAGAATAGGGTATGTGTAGCACAACAAAGCCTGCATTCCTAAAGTAATTTGTTTGTGTTTTAATGGGCCCAAAACTGTTGCAAGAAGCTATTCTTATTTTTATTGGTTATGTTTTATCAAAAGGTTTCTTTGGAGCTAAATGGCACTAAAATGTTGCAAATCTTTAGACACATGTCCAAGACATTAGTTTCGATATCAACGATATCGTATCGATATCAATATGCACCTTTTACTATATGTGTCGCAGCAAACACAACATCAGCCGTCGATATCGATAAAGTCAGCCAAATTTAAACATGGGACGTTTCTTCAGGTTAGATTGTTTAGTTTCTCCTTGTTTATCTGTTAAAGCTACCGACATTTAAAAAAATTTCTTCACGAGGTAGATGTTCTCTATTCATTTAATATGTTTTATTATTTTATATTTTTCAATAAGAATATGTTGTAGAATTTTCAATGAGACTTTAAAAGGTTTCCTCAACTGATTTGTTCGTTCAATGAGTTTACACTATATTCATTTTATACAGTTAGTATACATTTTTATTTAAATGTGCAGACATGGGAAATAAAAATTTCTGGACCAATCCATAAGGCATAGTTTACGATCTAATAAGCTACGGATAAATACCTTCATTACTTGTCTATAAACAACTAAACATATCCTTATACATCCTATGTATTTAAATTCTACATAGTTAAGTCATGTTTGTACTGTATCTCTATGTTTACCGTATTTGCATGTAACCATATTTCACCTGGTTATCACATAGATTACATGTCAACGTTATACACCAAATGAAATTTGTTTTTTAAAGGATGCAGTAATTTGGATAGGTGACCACTTGATTGTCTTGTATAAATACAATGGGAAAAGTAAATAAATCGATTACAATTCAGCCTTCTTCTCATTATATATCAATCTTTATATTCGGTCTTAATTTGATCAGCTGAATATGTCTTTTTTTTCATTTCACTATCGTTATCGAGTAAATATCAAGTCAACATGCTCGATATTGACATCAGGTTTTTTTTTGTCATTGGTGTTGTCATCGAAATTGATATCTGGTTATTTCATGAGTGTATAAGTTCATCGATATCGATTCGATATCATGTCGACATTGTCGATATCGATATCTAGATTAGTCTTGGATATTTTTAATAAATAGAAACTAAAGATCCTCTACAAAGATTCATCAGTAGTGATACTGACTGGATAATATACTTGATTAAAATGATTTTAAAAAGTGTGTTTCAGTTGCTGTCATGTTGTAGATAGTATATGATAATTTAGTAAAGCATTTTCTCTTTCATGAAAAATAAGCTTAACCCACTACAGTACAACAAGAAAAGATCTCTTATGTAAATGAGTCCAAGAATAATTTAATCCAATGTAGATGTCAGTATTTGTAC